TTTCCAAGCCAACGAACGTTCATAGTTTCGGGCTTTTGGAATCTAATTGGGTGTTGGGCCAAAGCATGGGAGAGCTTCGATGAAGGATCCAGTGCCAACATCTCTGCACAGGATTTAGGGTCTACCCAGAACCTCCTATGTACTTCCTTTTTGGGATAATATAGGATAGCCCTTTACCAAATACCATAACAACCCTAAACCCATAAACCCCTCAACCCTAAACCCAGGAGCCCTGAGGTAGACATTGTCCATGCAAAGTTTTCAAAGGTGTTCAGGTTCCGCTTGGATCCCTGCCCTCCTATGTCGTCCTATAGTCTAAACTGCTTTAAGGGGTTTTATAGCGGATTCAGTAGAGGAGTATTAGAGGGGTTATTAAGGGGGATGCTAGGGGTTGAGACTACAGCTCATGTACTTATGCGATGAGAGGTCGATGCGACATTGCGGGTGACAGAATCCCATTGCCAGGGAGCTACTTTTCTAAGGTTGTGCCCAAATGTTTCTAGCTGTCGGACAGGTTTCTCTTGGAATCCTCGACTGTACTGCAAATTCTTCATGTCATCAGTTACTCAGACTCCAGGAATCGCAAGGCTTCGACCAGAAGTTTGCCCAAACCGCAAACCATAACTTGTGTGGTACCTTCAATCCGCCTGTCCCGACAGTTTGATTTCCACACACAGGGGCAGTGAAGCCCATAAACAGCTCTCAGAATGTTGCTGGTCTGTCTGAACCTTACCTGTGCTAAGGGGTGGCGAGGGAGTGGATCCCCAAAGCTATCCTTTCACAATCCTCTATCATAATACTCGTATCTCTGTCCCCACTCCCCCTTAAGCACCCTAAACCCTAAGCCCTTCACCCCAAATCCTGAACCCCTAAACCCTAAAACCAGCAGCTGCTTCCAAGTCCGCACCCTAAAACCCATCAGCCATGGTGCCCAAAGGTTGGGAAAAGACTCGCCTTTCGACCACCTCGACACATGGTTTGGCCAAGCCAAGCCAAGGAGATTTGAGTGGCTTAGGGTTGTTTGAGTGTTCATGCTGTAGGGGCGGGGTGTCAAATCAATTGTGAAGCTCATAAGCAACGTGCAGCCTTTCTTTCGAAAAGCTGCCATATTTCTCGCTGGTGGTCAGCATGGAACATGGAGGAACGGATCCCCATAGAAGCCAAATGAACCACACAATTGACATCGAAGTCACTTTTCCTTCCCAACGCCACTCTTCAGACAAGCTTGCCGACTCCTTAAGCCTAAGCTCTATGGTAGTTCGGACGTGTTTGTTGTTTTTCCCTACTAGCGAACAGTAAGACTAAGCAAGGCTGGGACAACCCAGGCTATAGCCAGGTCATGCAGGGTTTAGGGTTTTGGGTCTAGGGTTGAGGGTTCTATAGTTCGAAAAAAAAAAGATGACGCTCGTGTTGCGCAGTATACCTAAAGATAAGCCCCAAACCACTCTCGATGTCTTTTCCATGGATTAGTTCCCTACTAATCCTTAACCCTCAGCCCAACAGTCTTTTCAATGTTCTGCTCCATTCCATACCACCTGTATACCGACTATGTAACCTATAAAACCCTACGAGTCCAATGAAGGGCCCATAGTTAGGATCATCCACAACCCTAAGCCCTAAACTCAAAACCTAGAACCCTAAACTCTTAGAATTCAACCCTAAACCTTATACCTAGTAGGAGATGTACGGCCCTGACCTGGTTTTGCGGCCGGCTCGCCTCAAGTTCAGCTCTTTCCGTGGCGAGCGCCTTAGTCCCTGTGTGACTTTGAGTGAAGGGTCAGGGTGACGTAGTAATTAGGTCTATAACAGGGATGGCTGTACCTAGCATATGGGGGGGGGGGGGCGGGGAAGGTTCGAAAATAGTGTTCAAATGTTATTAGCCTTCATTCTTCTTGGGGCCTATGTAATCCGTATGAAGCCATAAGGACTCAATGTGCATAGGGCTCCAAACCTACCCTAGTATAGGGAGTTATATCAGTATACCTACCTCGGTCTATTCTATCCCCTTTTGGGGGGCCTAAGTACCCATCATCGAGAGGCCATATATCCCCATCAAGGGTAGAAGAGTCCTTGGTACTAATTCCCCCTGACACCCTAAACCCTAAACCCCTAAACCCTAAACTCCAAGGGGGTGTTGTTTTGGGGTAGGCTGGGCCTTCCACCGGGTTTAGGGTTTTGGGCTTAGGGATTGTGCGTTCGAAGGCCCAAGGAATTTAGTAAGTGGCCTATAAAGGGGTGGAAAGGCAGACTAACCCAATTTGGGGACTTCTAACCCCCATGTAAAGCATATCTGGACTAAGCTCTCAGAGCCTCTAAGTAGGGTCCTCTATAGGGTTTTCGGGTTTATAGGGGAATGTGTAGTTTGTAGGAATGCTGTCGGGATTCTATCGGGTACATGTTTGGTTTTTCAGGCAGAGGGTGCCAAGGCAAATTGAGATCCCTCTTCAGAAGTCCTCATGTAAGTAGCTTTCGAAACTAGGGGATACTGTTGTCCCCAGTACTTAGTAAGGCCATAATTTTCTCTGGGTTGTGGCATTGTATGACGAGAACATTGTCCCACGTGGTTCAACCACCCCAAAATCCTCATGCGGATCAATGTTGGGTAGAATTACCATTGCTAACAAGGCGCGATTATGACCTGACGTAAGTACCCTCAGCCCCCCCAGAGGTAAGAAAGATACTGGCACCACACTCATAAAACGAGCCAAATGGAAACTTATCCTACACACTTTTCAGGCAAAGTGGAGATCAAGATGTCTATCAACGTTCCGCATAACAAAGCCAGTGGTGAGATCTACATTCCTGTGGCGGCTGATGCAGTTGTTCATTACCATGACATTTTCAAATCAAAGCCTTCTCATCCAGATGTTGTTCAGCGGAGCATTACAAGTTTGGCCAGGCATCCAGGCTGAGGAATGCGAACTGGCTCAGCCTAGCTCAGTGCCAAACTGTTTTGCCGACCTCTGGCTTCAAACCCGATAGCCCGCGAAGCTTGAACTCCAGACTCATAACTAGGAACAATGTCCTACGTAGCCCTGACGTATACTACTGAATTTACGCTTTATACGAAATGGGATAATGCAAATGCTAGCATTCCCCCCTCTGAAAATGTTTTAACAGGGACCCCTCCAAGGAAGGACATTAAACCCGCAGGTCACCACGCTGCTGACAGTCTATGCGCTGATCGGAGATGACATGCGCCTAATCTTCACGGCCAAGGACGCCGATGAGACGTCCCTGGGCTTGTTGAAGTGTAGTCCTATCTATTTTCTGTTTTTTTGCTGAACCCTAAATCCTAAACCCTAAAACCTAAACCCTAAAACCTAAACCCTAAACCCTAAACCCTGTAACATGGAGCAATATGTCTTAGGGTTATGATGGTGGGCGCAGTTTTAGACAAGCATCCAGTAGGTGATGGTTAGACATTTTGTTATGTTCTAGTTCTGGAGACATTAAAGCAGTTCATGAACCCGTTAGACCCTAAACTCTGACCCCTGAACAATTTCTGAACTCTGCATCTGGAACAGCGTGGTCTGACATGTCCAACGTCAAAGCTTTCCTACAAGCCAGGTTGTCAATCGAAAAAGCTGCAGTTCCTCAGTCCCTCTTAAAGCTCACATCGCTCACAGATCAGGGGCTTACTATGTACCTTAGACCCTCCGTCTAACTCCTGTATACCTTAAATGCCCACTATTCGGGACCATACTCCCTTATTTAAGGATACAAGGAGAGTCCTGGTAGGCAACTTGGCCATGGGCACAGCTGAGGTTCAACTACATCACCATTACGACCATGGTCGTCTTCGGAGTTGAGGTGCAAATTTTCTGCAGCTCGTGTCTTTGAAGGTTAGAGTCCCCCGAAAAGTAGATAGAATATGGCTTTGGGTACATTACGAAAAAATCCCCATATACCCCATATTCTATCTACTTAAGGGGGACTATATTCTTCTCAAAAGCCTGGATTACTCTTGGACTACGGGTGTTTTTGTTGGTGGTCTTATGGGTGATTTTCGAGTTTCCTGCAGCAGTGGCTATATTCTTGCTTGGTCTACACAAGCCCAAGGCTGGGAATAACTCACATTTTCCGGGACCGCTATGATCTCCTCAGGAACCCCAATGTCATGCACAAGGGAGACACTCTCAGGTCATCATCAACACCCTGGGCAAGCAGGGGTATCTTTTTGGCTTCTTCTTTTTCTTGGACGTCCTCAGCACAGTCACGTTGGTGCTGGATCTCACCTATGTTGCTCGGCCGGCATGTAAAGTCCAAGCCTTAAATCTAAACCCTGCATTCCCTAACCCATAGGGTGTCATAGGGTCCCAGGTTTGGGATTGGACAGGGGGGGGCAGGGTAGTTGTGGACATGGAGTTGGAGGTTGGAGGAACAAACTTTGGGAAATTGATGGGGGTGATGGGTGTTCTCTTACAGGCACGGGATGTACATGAATGTACACAGTTGGAAGGTAGGCTTAAACCTCAAGCCTAATTGAGTGGAGCTTCCAGGGATGACCATGTTTTTGGGGATAGTACGAAGGGACCCAATTTCGGAAGCATATTAGGGGAAACCCATTAGGGGATGATAGGAGAGCCCTATACCCAAATCCCTAAGCCTTCATCCCGAAACCCTGAACCCTAAACCCAAACTCTTAACCCTAAGCACTTTGGGAAACAAGCAAACAAGGTCTCCGACACACTTTTTGGTGACTCCATCTCTGCGGCGCAACAGCTCACAGATTTCGTATGGGCCTGAGTCGCCGGAGGATTTAAGGGTATAGGTTTAAGATCTAGGTTTAAGGGTTTCGGGTTTAAGGACTAGGGACAAATCTATCAGGCTGCCCATCTAAAGGGCGAAGCTATAGCTAAGGACTCCCTAAGACATCCCCTATGGCTCCGACTAAAGCTCCTCAGGTCCCATGCCGGCCACCAGATATTTGGAGTCCCCTTAGCATAGGGTTTGGAGTGACTTTAGCTCTCCTTGGTGTTGGGGAAGCCGAAGCCCCGAAGCCCTGAACCAGAATCACAGAAACCTGAACCCTGAAATGTAGGATTTGCGTTTTAGGATTGCTAAGCCCTTAACCCTGAACCTCACCCTGTTCCCTAATCCATAGCCCTAGCGCCCGTAATCCTATGAACCTTGTCATCAACCCCTAGACCCTAAAGCCCACATGTCCTTCACCCTTATATCCTATCAGTCGTATAAGTAATCCCTGAACTGTGAGGCCCCTATATCTTAAAATTCCTTTTAACCCTATCAACCGAAAGGTCTACAGACCCTATCATCACCCCCCCCAACCCTACGCCCTAAACCCTCTAAACCTTACACCCTAAACCCCCAAGCCCTCAACCTTAAACCCTGAAACACTAAAATCCTACACCCTGAACCCTAAACCCGAAAACTTAAAATCTCCATAAAACCCAATAAATTCTACTAGTCCTCAAAACAGGATGGTGCCGGTCCAGTGGTGGAGCGGCCCGTGGACCAGGGAAGCAGAGCCTACCTCAGGAGGTTTTAGGGTTTGGCATTTGCGGGTCCAGGGTTTTAGGTTTTTTCAAGGTTGTGGGGTGTAGGGTTCAAGGTTTTAGGGTTCAGGGTTCAAGTTTTAGGGTTTAGTGTTCAGGGTTTTAGGGTTCAGGGTTCAGGGTTCAAGGTTTAGGATTGAGGGTTCAGGGTTCAAGGTGGTAGGATTCTAGCTAGTGGGGCTTTTAGTTCAGGGTTTAAGATAAGGCGTTTGGATTTGGGGTTCTGTCATTGAGTGTTGAGTGATTGTCGTTGAGTGATGAGGGCTTGGACGCTGTGGTTCAGAGTTTCCCATTTAGAGCTCAGGTATCAATGTTGAGGGTTGAGCGGTTGGGCTGTGAGGTGTGTTTTTCCAGTATATACCTGGACAGTGCAAAGTGGCCCCAAACCCATTAGCAGAGCCAAAGGGCTGTTTGTTCTACATACTTTTGGCGCCCAGCTAGGGATGAGATTTTTTTGTTTACGAGTCCCATCGCGCAAGCCCCCCGCTTCACCTTAAACCCTAAACCCTAAACCGACTTGATTGAACTCTCGAACAAAAAGTGCAGAAGCGCTGCGAATAGATTATAGGTAATCGTTGGGATTATCAGGGCGAGTTCTATTAGGGATATGTGGGGTTTATATGGGTTTTATATAGGGGTTTATATTCGGGTTATATAGGGTATATATTCGAGTTATATTCGGATAATGTGAAATAATACAAAGACAACTAATAATTAGTGTTTCGTATACTGGGATAATGGAAAATAAAATGGAAACGACTACTTAAGGTTTAATCCTCATCTGAAACACACGTGCGCAGAGCAGAGGCTTCTTGTGATCCCACCAAATTCGAGAATTCTGTGGCAGCCCGCCCCCTTCCCCCCTTGGCTTCGAGATTGTGTGATCCCGCACAGACGACTTGCCGCAGTCCATACATGGTAGTTGCTCAATATCGTCAATGGCCACGACGAAATGGCTTCCGCTACTGAGATCCTGTCAACCCCAGAGTATTGAGGACCCTGATAACCTTGCCTGTCGGGCATCCGTAGATTGGCATGCGACCCAAACATTCTTCGCCACTACTGCGATTTGCTGTCTGGACCCGTAGGGCACTGACGAGGTCAGTCGGCGGATGCAGCGCGGGCTGCGCGCATGAGCCGTGTGGGCACGAAGGCTGAAGTGCTGTAAAGTTTCAGGGCGTATAGATTTGGATTTAGGGAGTAGGGATCAGCGATAAGGACGATAGCGTCTTGCCCCCAACAAGTAGCAAGGTGATACATTTTTGGATTGCACTTTCGGGAGGGGGGGGGGCAAACATCTTAATCCCTAAGCCGTCTGGAAGTGTGGCACTTGTTTTGAGAAAGGGTCACCTGCTGCCGTTAATTTAAGCCTAAAGGTTGAGACTAAGATGATTGTGATACTTTCCGATTCAGCTTCGGTTTCGACGCAGGTCGAACACGCATTTTGCTCAATTACATGCATGGATGGCAAACCTATTGCAACTCCTATATGCTAGTTTCCCCAAATAGGAGGACCCCAATATAGACCCAAACATACAACAATCCTTATATGGGGACCCCAAAATGGCACCCCTTATTTGGGGAGACCCCATATCCCCAACAAATCCTCACATTGCCGTTCCGAATGGCTCCGTGCAGGGATCGCCTGGCTTTGTCTCAAAGAGCTGCAAACCTGAGCCGCCCTAAAAGCGACGTCTTCGCATCACCTTATGTTCATAATAGGCCACCGTACCCAGCAGGCAAACAAAGGAAGTGCAGACAATCATAGGCTTCAGGGGAAGTCGGTGCATGAACTGAATAGGAAGTGGCTCGCTACTAATCCCTGCCCTAAACCTCGAACTGTATCTTAGCCGGATTTCTCAGCCCTACTTCCATTCTTTACAACCCTAAGCTCCACAATCCTATGCTGTAAACCCGCCACCTTGATAAAGCGTAAAGCCTTGAAACCTTAAACTTTAAATCACAGCACCCTAAACCCCCAAACCAATACTTGGACCAGGCTGGCCGGGTCGTTCGGCTGCTTCGGCTTGTTCGACTGATTCGACTTATAAAGCCAGGCGCTTGGATGTGGCTCTGCATGGGGGTCTAGGGTTTATGTCGTGAGGTTTGGGTTTAGAGGGTGTCCTTGGGGAATCTCCGGGAATCTAGTGACATAGTTACAGGGGTTAGATGATTGGTCCCCCTTGTGGAGTTAATAGAGCGAATGTGAGCTACCACTATATGGCCTAAGGGGCAGCCAGGGTCTTTTGGTTTAGGTTTTTCTTAGCGAGAAGGTCTGTGCGTTCAGGATGCGTTTATTTTGATTTTGGGTGTAGGGGGGGCAACGCAGGACAGTAGAGGCCAGGATTGTGTTGTCAATCTAGAAATTCTTGACTATCAACACTACTTGGCCCTGGAGACCTAAACTCCCAAAGTGTTCTCCCCTTATGCACCCCCCCCCCCAAAAAAAATACAGAAAGGACTGTTGTGGCGTGT